CACCTCATATAAATAGTAAGTACTTCGTACAGGTTTAACTATTCTCTTACTTCAAGCATGCTAATACTAAGTAATTAACACTTCATACACTATAAATATCTTCCTACCTTCTCCATAATTAGTTCGAGGGTTATGGAAATTAAGGGTATGACTATTTTGTGTTTATGTATCTTTTGTATGTAGTTTCCATACAAAAGATACCTAATTCTCCAATTTGCTATCCGGTGACCCTTGCTTGCCACAAGAAAATTAATTTCTCCGCAATCCGAAGTCCTAGTGACATACAGCGGACGAAACCGGCCATCAGGGACTTAACTCTCACTAGTGAATATCCGCTGACCGCTTTTACCACCGCCTTTTGAAGGCATATATATAACTATGTCTTAGTTATGTGAGGGTGCATGACTAAGTTTTTGTCCGGCAATATTATCCAATGAGGGTTTAATACTCAGTGGCCCAAGTCGTCTGCCGTGCAGTGTGGAAACCGTCCCCGCTTGACCATGATAAGCACGCGTCTGTGCTGAAGATAAGGCTCCGTTTCTCTCAACGTTCCGGAGGTCCTTCTTCCTCTCTGATATTCTCTAAGATTGCTTTCATAATGGAGTACTCAGTTTCTACTCCTATCCTGAATGGTCGCCTGTACAAATCTCGGAAATGTCGGCCTTGCGATGCTTGTCGAAAGCGTAAAGTGGCCTGCGACATGCCCCATGGACCGCCGTGTCACCGATGCACCAACAGAGATCAAGAATGCACATTTGAGGAGGGTCCGGGGCCGCGGAAAAGGGCGAGATTATATGAGCAACTGGAAACATTCGAGACATGCGAACAACCCGACGGGTGGCTGCATCTCTTGACCGAGACCCGACCGAATGATGGGAAAGACGTTGAAGGTTTTACACCAGAAGAGACTCGGCAGGCAGAATCAATAAGTCCGCAAAGAAGTGATTCATCAGTCAGTCGAGATGGAACGGCGGCGGTCGGTTCTCGAGGCAGCATCTCATCCAGCCCGGAAATGTCTCCACCCAGTCGAGAACGACCGGCGTTCCGAGATTCGCCTTCTCAAGTGGATTCCCTTGAATTTATTCCAGGGGCGTTTAGCTTCTATATTGGCCCGACTGGGGTTTCCGATATTCATATTCTGAGCCACCAAGCCTACGATGGCCAGAATGTGTCGTTACCGAAAGTGAATGGCTTGAAGTATCGGATCATGGATAATGCACACCAAAAAGAGGGAAGGCCATTCGATCTCTCACACCCTACTGTCTTTGGGATCACAGATCACTCTCTTCTGGAGAAGGCAGAGCCAAAGCTAGATCCGCAACTCACGGACAATGCGTGGCCTCGTCTATGGGCTATGATGGATCCAACTGCAGCGTGGCATCTCATCAAACTATATTCTCGATATGTCGACCCATATTTTCCAATTTTGTCGAGCCACCAGATCCCATCATCACCGGGCGAGTTAGTTAGAATGCCCTTGGCATTATTGACAGCAATATGCGCCACTGCCCTTCCGTTTGTCATGTATGACGACAGTCTCTACACATTGTTGTTAAACCCACCATCCAGTGAGCAATTGTATCGTCTGTGCTGGCTTTGCTTATCGCAGGAACTCCACGCTCCTTCCCTCGCCACCCTTCAAGCCTGTCTTCTCCTTCAACAGCGACTTCCTACCAACATGTATCTTTCCGACACCGCGTTTGCATGGACGCTTTCGTCAACTTCTCTGGCAGTTGCACAGACTATTGGGCTTCACCGAGACCCAGAGTCATGGAAGTCCATTCCACCCTGGGAGAAAAGGCTTCGTCGTCGACTCTGGTGGGGACTCTACATCATGGAGAAATGGGTCGCTCTTGCGCGAGGAATGCCCAGTCACTTAGGTGATGATGATTACGATGTATCCCTGCTCCAGCAAGAAGACATTCAAGATACCTTGTCTGACTCGCCGGACACAAAGAGTCACATGTATCATCTTTCAACATTAACAACAATTCTGTGGGATATCCAGAGATCATTCTATTCGGTGAAGGCGATCGGAAAGACCTCTAATGATCTCCAATATTCCTTGGATCTTGCACGACCAATGCGTGTGAAGCTCAAGGATTGGCGTGAGAATTTGCCAAGTAACCTGAAACCAACGTCTAACGCAGCGAATTCCGGTGGGGACCTCGATGGAAACGGGTCCCTCTACCTCTCCTACATTGTTACCCACGTCGCCCTCCTACGCGCATTGCTACGGCCGTTGGATCGATGGCCGACAATAATCCAACGAAACAAAGAAGAGCCAGATGCGACATACGAAGGGGCTAAAGCGGTTGTCAAGGGAGCATTGTTATGTGTGAAGGAATTTGTCGAATTTGTCGAGAAGCTCACGGGAGCTCAGTGGAATTCGTTCTGGCATAGTTGTGAGTATACCGTATATCCTTACAAAAGTCTTTGGCCTAACCAATGAGATAGGGAGTCGACCCAATTTTGCTATTGCTGGTTCATTCATGGTGCATCTTTTACAAATCGTCACACCATCCAATCGAGCTGAAATTCCAGCCACATTCGAGCTTGCAAAGTATTCATTCGAAAAAGAATACGCTGAGCTCCAAAGCTGGATTCGGAGATGGCGCTGGGCAACACGTATTTCGGCAAATGGAGCAGCAGGTGTCAAGGGCCTAACGAATCTCGGATTTATCAAGGTGGAAACATTGATGGGCAATGTAACATAATGTATAAAATTTATAATTAAAACTGTTAAAGGAGCAGAGAGGAGAAGCATTGATTCTCTACGAACAAACAGGAAGCTAGCTAGATAATAACTTAATATCTTTCTCAACATACCCCTTCGAGCTGAAATCCTAGCCTGCAAAGTTGTATCCTATAAAATGCAGCCACCACTTGAGAGTATGCAGATTGATGAATCTGATAGAAAGTTGGGGGAATTGACAAAGATAAGGATAAAGAGGGCCGATAACCTGTTAAAGCAGAGAGAGGAGAGTAGATTCCTACAAACAACTAACTAGCTAGGTAAACTGACTAACAAGGCAACAAGGCACGCGATCTGTACGCAAACATTAATCAAACTAGCAGAGATTCAGCATCATCCGACCTTCATCTTTCGCACACTCCCCATCATCCTCCTCAATCAAACTCGGAATCGGCACATTAGCCAAAGGAGTCAACCGGAAAGCATGGCGGCGAGAACCCGCCTGATAATCCAGAGTCTGCGAATGCTGCGTCACTCTCTGATCCCAAATCACCACCGTGCCAGGTTCATAGCGCACGCGACAGCAGAAATCATGTCCACGGTTGATGTGGTCGAACAAGAACTTCAGCATGTAGTCCGACTCTTCCTCGTCCCAGCCCACAATACTTTGGGTATAGGAGGAGTTGACAAAGAGTGCCTTCTTTTTGGTGACAGGGTGGATGATTACGACTGGGTGGACGGTTCGAGTAATTGGTCGACGGAGGACGGAATCAGGGCCGTTGTCGCGAATCTCGCGAATGATGGGGTTCGCGGTTGTGTGAACTGCCTTGAGACCCTCGAGACGCTTGCGGAATGAGGGTGAAAGGCGTTCATATGCGCGTGTCATCTGTGTGAATATTTGTTAGTTTCCTGGGATTGGTTTATTTCATAGATGAGACTCACGTTGGAAATGATAGTATCTCCGCCCGCGCCGGGAGGAGACTCGAGCATGCAGAAGAATGTCGCACCCGGAGGCTGAGTCTCGGGGGACTGTTTGAAAAGATCTTTTAGTCCCTGTAATCATTGGATTTACGCTGTGGATCTTACCTGATCAACATGGAACTGGATTGGGCTTTTTCTAGCCCAAGATTTACGAATGCGCAGGTCACTATTGAGTTGTGAGATCAAGCGAAAAATGATAAACTAAAAGAGATTCTTACTCTTTAGAGTCATAAACAATGACAAATTCCTCCGGGCCATTTTTGGGATGAGGCATCCATCCATGCTTGTGGAGAGGGCCAAAGTGACTGTAAACCGTAAGAAAGGGTTCCTGGCTTGATTAAGATTGACTCACGAGGCAATTCTCTTCTGCTCCTCGAATCCCAGATCCGTGAAGTTCTGGTCCCGGAATACTAGACATCCTCGGTCTGCCACCATGAGCGCGAGTTCGTCTAGGCCCTCGGTTGAAAGCTCCGACTAAGTTCGCGATTGTATTAGCTCGGCCGATCGATATAATGATAGCGCATATTCTCACAATCTGGACACCCTTAAGCTCCGTTCCACAGTGAGGGCTCAATTGGACAACATTGGTCGCCTTTTTCAAGAGATTCGGGAATGATGGATCGGCTCGATGACCAGGGTCGTCGTGCTCGAATGGCCCGACCATCTCGACCTTTTCGAGGGGGTCATAGAATGCTATGGATCTTGTTAATTCTGCTTAGACTCCTACTCTTGGACATGCTACTCACGGAGATAATCGGGGTAAAGAGGCCCCTTCTCTTCGACTGTTTCGGATACCATTTTGAACGATTTGGTTTTGGATGATTCAATGGAAACCTCTGAGGATGTTCGATTTCATGAGTGGCTTCATTTATAGATATACCCTCGCGAGTATTTTAAAACAGGTAGCGTGCACCCAAACCCACGCATTCCGCGTTTAGAGTGGATGGCCTGACCACATTATCGTGTAGTTGGCCGTCAGTGGATCGATTTGCCCGCGCGGCCAACTAAAAATCAGCCTCATTCACGTGGCCACTCCACTTCGTTATCGTCGGGGGTTGATAAGGGGACCCACCGACTAGTCAGGTGGCTTCGGGCGTTCCATAGCTTGAAGTTCCAAGGTTGGCCGAGATCGCGCGTTGAACCTTGGAAGCCAAGACGATCGGAGGCGATAAGCCTATCAATAAGCCCGAGGAATAACCTCCAACCAAAAGATTATAGTGCGAGATGGGCATTGCATATATAAGGTCGGGCTGTGAGTAACCCTAAGATCCCACCTGATTGAATCAAAGCCAAATACCCAAGTGGACGACACTGCAACTCTACGATGGCTGTTGATCAAGTTACCGTCAGTGATGAGCCCAAAGGCGGCGAGGTTGCAGCAGACGCAGCCGTCAAAGCAATCAAGGCTGGAAGAAACAAGGATGTCGACATCGCCGCCCAAATTATCAGCGACTATGCCGATCAAATGGATGGTGAATCTTGGTCTGTTGAGGAGGAAAAGAAACTGATGCGCAGAATTGATTGGAGACTTATCCCGACTGTGAGAAGCCCCAGCCCTGTATTGGTCTTGAATCTCTTCAAAAACTAACACAGAATAGCTATTTGTTTGCGCCACTCTATCAGGCCTTGACAAAACTGCTATCTCGGCAGCTGCCATTTATAACATCAAGAAAGATCTCAACCTTACCGGAAATGATTATTCATGGGTTGGATCTGCGCCATTCTTCGGTGGATTGGCATTCATGGGACCCTTGGCCCTCTGCATGCAAAAGTGAGACATCTATCATACTTTCCTGAGAAGCTTAATTCGAACTCAATATCTGACTGACTTAGGGTTCCTGCTGTGCCGTTCTTCGCCTTCAATGTTCTCTGCTGGGGCATTCTCGAAATGTGTATGGCGGCATGCACCAGTTTTGGAGGCTTGTTTGTCTGCAGATTTCTCCTGGGTGGCTGCGAATCACTCCTAATCCCAGCGGTCACATTGGTCGTGTCCATGTGGTATCGGCCTGAAGAACAACCAAAGAGAAACAGGTACCAGCACACCATCCTATGGTGTAGAAGCATAAATTGACCTAGTGATGCAGTATTATTCTTAACGTGGTCGCTCCCATCATCAACGGCTTTCTCGCCTGGGTCGTTGGATATTACCCTGGCCCATTCGAAACATGGAAGATTATCTTCCTTCTCGTCGGAGCGCTCACCATCATTACATCAGTTGTGGTGTACTTCGTGCTGTATGCTACCATTCTATCCAAAGTAAATGTCGAGTGGGACTAACGGAACTTTACAGGCCTAACAACCCACTTGAAGCCAAGTTCCTAACCCCCGGGAAAAGTACATCGTTATTCAGCGCAAGGCAGCCGATAACACCGGTGTCGAGTCTAAGACTTTCAAGATTGAACAAGTCTGGGAGGCTATCTTCGACATCAAGACTTGGTTGATCTGGATCGCCATTGTTGCTTTGCAAGTACCCAATGGTGGACTGACCACATTCAACACCCTCATTATCTCCGGCCTCGGCTTTGATCCTCTTCAGACCTCACTCCTTGCTATGCCTCCTGGAGCCATGAGCACCCTGTCTGGAATTGGCCTATCCTATCTTGCCGCTACCACCAGAAAGTATCGCACGCCTATTGTGACAGTCTCCATTCTTCTGCCGCTTCTTGGTGCTATCTTGTGTTATGCGTTACCGCGAACCAACCTTGCCGGACAGCTCGTTGGCCTATAGTAAGTTCCCTCCGAGACCTTGCTTTCTATCTACTCTTACTAACTTTAATTCTGTACAGCATCTTATAGTACGTTCTAATAAACTTTCTAATGCGTTACATTTTGCTAACCTCTTCAAGCACATACTGGGCCCCTTACATCACCCTGGTTTCGGTCTATCAGGCCAACGTTGCTGGTCACACAAAGAAGTAAGACCTTCCAGCTCTCAAAAAATAAGCCCCTGGTCTAACGCATTTCAGGATTACACTATACGCCTGGTTCTACATCGCTTGGGCTACCGGAAATATCATCGGACCTCAAACATTCCGTGCCAATCAAGCCCCGGAGTATACCGGCGGAACCATCGCCATGATCGTTTGCTATATTGTAGCAATGTTCGCTATTACAGCTTATGGTCTAGTTTGCCATTTCAGCAACAAGAGGCGTGCTGAGGCAATTGAAACCCACATGGCTGCCGACCATGACTGGTTGGATATGACAGACAAGGCGAATGTGGGATTCAAGTATACTACCTGAGGTTTTTGATTAGTTGGATATGACGGACAAGGAGATTTTGGGATTCAGGTAGACTGTCTGCTTTTGATGACTTTGATTTGACAGGGAGAATTTGGGATTTAATTAGACTGCCTGCTCTTGATTAGTTAGGTTTGACAGACAGGGAATTTGGGATTCAAGTGTACTATCTGAGGCTTTATATTAGTTTGACAATGGACATTGCCGTAAACCTTTGATTCTTAGAATTGATTCTTCTAAGATTATCTCCCGAACCGTACTAGTAGCAAACTTCATTCAGAGTGTAACTTGGTTGATTCAAAGGTACTGCTGGACCGAAGAGATAATGCAGATGGGCCTACTTACCTACATCATCCTTTGAATATCTTCCAGGTTCTTTACATATAGGTCATTCTAAACCTCTTCTCCATCTTTTCTTTTCAATCTACTCTTTGAATATGCCCAGATAAGCCATGGCCCCCTATGACCCATTTAGGTTGTCTCCTCCTCCGGATTGTCAAATAGAATATATACATAAAACGTTGCAGTCTGCAATACATGAAATTTAACAGACTCAGACTAATCGTAGAGCCAAGAAGCAACATAGCGCGGATCCGCACTCGTCTTGGAGAAAGACCGGCTCAGCTGGCTTGGACCACGCTTCAAATACTTGCCATCTCCTGGCTTCCCTTGCACTTCACCATCAGCCCAGACAATATTGCCACGCAAAATAGTGTACTTGGGCCAATTGACAAACTCCATGCCTTCGTAAGGTGTATCTTAAAGCCAGATGCGTTAGTAAACGGAACCGAGAGATTTCGGGCCAGGTACTTACAATCAACGTTGTGGTGTAGCATCGAATTAGTCAAGCGGAAAGGCGTAAAATCTTTGTCAGGATGCCACTATTTGCGCATAATTAGCGGAGCTTAAAAGGTTTGACGGAAAGGGACCGTACGATTACCAAATCCGCGTCGGATCCAGGCATAATGGTCCCTTTAGTAGGATATAGACCATACTTGAAGAGTCAGTTTCTATCCTTATATAAAGGTGAGGATTCATACCAATTTAGCGGGATTCGTTGACGTGAGCTCAACAAACTTCTGAGCCGTAATCCGACCGGTTGCCAGAGCCCCAGTATATAACAACGGCAATCGAGTCTCCACCCCAGGAATACCATTAGGTATTAATCGAAAAGAACCTTCTTTCCGCTCCAAGAGATTCTGGAGCTCATCTCCGTGACAGTGTTTCTCTCCCTCCATGCTCGGCTCATGCTCAAGGACGCCGGATGGTTTTCCGTTCGGATGATCATAACGGAAAGGACAGTGATCTGAAGAATAAATGGTGAAAGTACCATTTTGAAGGCCACTGAAATTGTTAGCTTTTTCGGTTCTGGAAGTGTAGGTGATACTCACGTAAATAAATCTTCCTGGTCTGATATATCTGGAGGTGGTGGTGGTGAGCAGATCATCTTGCTGTTCTCAAAGCACGTAGGGGAATGGAAGCGTTTCTATATTAGCGATTAGCTTTAACATTACAAACCCAATGTATCGAGAAAACTTACTAAGTCATTCCAGGTGAGGTGGAAGTACTGTGGGCAAGTTTCAGCGTAAATGGGGAGCCCCATGGTTTGTGCCTTCCGCACATTGGCCGCGCCAAGCTATCAAAATCAGCATCCAAATAAATGATTTCATTGCCGCTAGAAACTGACTGCGGATCCAACATGCACGAATAGAATTGGGTTCTGGATCAAGTGAGCGAGGGCAATAGCTCGATTGGTAGCCTCCGCTTCGACCAAGGGCGGACGGGATAGGGCGTGGTAATACGGGGCTTGAGGCTGTTAGACTTGGTAAATGACAAGCTCAGGGTAAAACATACCGACCATTCCCTTGCTTTCGAGTTTGTCTAGTTTGATGTTAAATTTCGAACGAGAAAGTACCCTCATGGACTTACTTGTGAGCCACTGAATCATATCCCCGTTCTCGGCATGAATCATCTATCAAACGTTAAGACTGCCATTTGCGCATTTGTATAAGCCACTCACGGTGGTAATCGAATTCTTCCTCGCAGCAAACATGACATCCAAAAGCTGCGAGTCCGTCAATTTCTGGGTCTCGTAAGTCAAGAAGAGTTTGCAGCTAGAAATACCCCAGTCTTTCATCAAGACTGGCAGCTCGTTCTCCAACACATCAGCGTCGTTTCGAACAATGATAATGTGAAAGCCGTAGTCGGCATAGCTACCCGTGGCTTCGGCCCGAGAATTATATGCCTTGACTACATTTAGCAGACTGCGGTCTTCTTCTGCCCGCGTTTGAGTTGCAAAGGTAATCATAGTCGTGGTTCCTCCCGCCACTGCACTTCTAGAGCCGGTTTCAAAGTTATCGGCGCATTCTCCGCCCAGGCCATGGGGTCCTGTCTCCAAATCCTGGCATAGATGAACATGTGCATCGACGCCGCCGGGCATAACATACGCACCCCTGATTTCATAGTGTTAGAAACCTCACAACTTTTGCGTAGAAGTTACTCACTGTGCATCTATCACCTTGACTCCCTCTATCTCCTCGTCCGTGAACCCATCAACCAGAGCTCGGATCTTTCCATTCTTTATTCCAATGCAGCAAATACTAGAAACCTTGTTAAATTTCTGGTAGTACTCCCTAAATCCGATACCTTACCTGATATCGCTGGCCGTGACAACCTTGCCATTAACGATGATCAAATCGAACTTGGCCATTGCTGGTGCTCCTCGAATATATGGAGAGTAGCAAGATAGCAATATAAAAATCAAAGAGCTTACCTTAGCTTACATGTCTTCTAGAATAACATACATAGTACTATCTGCTTATCAGTAATGTGGAGAAACTTGTTTTACTGCTTAGGGCCTAGTGGGGCCAGATAAGGCCGGTGTCGGCTGATAGCGCCGATGTCTGATAACAGTCGAGCGGCCGACTCTATCACCGACTCTATCGCTGTCGGGGAATGCAACCTTTTAAGGTTGGAAGAAATCATTATGTTGTGCAGTGAACCTCGGTGTTTTTATTTGAGAGCCCTAATCAGGCGACCGACATGACAGCAGAGACGACACGACAGCAGAGACGACACGACACGTCTTTGAAGCAATTATAGCGCATAGCGCGCGGAAAATGCTTCAATCGGAGATAAGCAACATTCCAGTCATGAATCAACGGCTTTACTTGAGTAGGAACAGAAAAACAGCAGGTAAAGTACGTTGCACAAAGCTTGAGGTAAATAGTGTATGCTGTTATAGTGAGAATTATATGCCATCCGAGTGGTCAACGGATGAGTTTATGGGTCAAAACATTCGGAATATCCAGCCGGGATTGTGACATCCCCGCATGAGAGCGCTCGGTGATTTTTAGCAAGAAACCCAGATAAGCGTGTTTATATGTCCCCGTAGCCGTATTTGGCTCTTCTTTCTTTACTTTCCACCTCAGGATACCATTTTCAGCATCCCCTGAGTATTCTCAATGGCCGACGAGAGGGGTTACGGCTCTTTCCACCCCGGCGATAACAGTCCTTCGCCCGTGATAGGCTGTGCCAGCCCACAACCACAAGCTGATGAAAACACCAAGTTGTTATCAAATGACGGTGATGCTGGGTTCGAGGACCAAAGGGTGATCGAGGGACACGCTAACTTCCATCGACTCGGGTGGAAGCGTCTCACTGTGGTCAGCATCGTCGAAGCGATCGCTCTCGGCGCACTGAGTCTCCCTCAGGCATTTGCCGTTCTAGGGATGATCCCCGGTATAGTCATATGCATTGGCATGGGAATTGTTGCCATTTATACCAGTTATATCATCGGAGCAGTCAAGATAAAATTCCCTTCGGTTGCCCACTATGGAGACATTGGGCAGCTGATGATGGGGAGCTTTGGCTACTGGCTGTTCAGTGTAATATTCGTCTTTCAACTGACACTCTCTGTTGGATCCCACTGCCTTACGGGCATGATCGCCTTTGCAAATATTACTGAGAGTACAATTTGCGCTCTAGTGTTTGGTGGTATCTCCGCTGTCATTCTACTCTTATTGGCGATACCGCCAACATTCGCCGATGTTGCAATCCTAGGCTATGTTGACTTCGTTTCTATCATTCTGGCAATCGGAGTCACCATGGTCGGCACTGGAATCCAACAGGCTCAGATGCCCGGTGGATTAGCGAGTTCAGACTGGTCTTACTGGCCTGCCGAAGATGTCACGTTCCCTAAAGCAGCGGTTGCTATCAGCAACATCGTCTTTGCCTACGCCTTTGCTGGTGCTTTGCCGTCATTCATGAACGAAATGCATACGCCGAAAGACTATGTCAAATCGATAACTGCACTCGGCGTCATCGAAATCTCAATCTATGTGCTCACCGGATCTATCATCTATGCATTTGTCGGACAGGATGTTCAATCCCCAGCTCTGCTGTCCGCGGGGCCTGTGATGTCCAAAATCGCGTTTGGAATCGCCCTCCCCGTGATCTTCATTTCTGGCTCTATCAATACAACGGTCGTATGTCGGTTCATTCATACGCGGATTTATCGCGATTCGGTGGTTCAATACGTCAACACGGTGAAGGGATGGGTCACCTGGCTGGCGCTCGTGATTGCCGTCACCCTGATCGCTTGGATAGTTGCCGAGAGTATCCCCTTCTTTTCCGAGCTCATGGCTATCAGTGCGGCTCTGCTCGTCTCCGGGATGTCTTTCTATTTCCCTCCCGTGATGTGGCTTTTACTTCTGAAAGACGGGAATTGGCATGACCGGAAAAATGTCTGGCATGCTGTGTGCAATCTGGTCTGTTTCCTAATCGGAATCGCAGTCCTCGGAGGTGGAGTTTATGCAAGCATCTTCGAATTGGTGAGTTCCGTGAAATCCGTCTCCATTCCATCTTGCTAATTTAAGTAAACAGATAAGGAAATTCCAGGATGGGAATATGGGGAAACCTTTTTCGTGCTCGATATAAACTAGATTTGTTCTGTTTGCCGGTGAAGGCTCAATCCATCTGTGTATGATGGATAGAACTATATCTAGAGAGCTATCACAGTCATTAAGAGACTACATAAATATAGAAGGGGTCTGTTTCGAAGTTTAAGGAGTATCATACGTATCTAACACCCAAAGTTTGTATCTACTAAGAGACTCCAACACTCCCATACAGTATCCTTCAAGCAAATATAGTAAATATCAATCATCTACATCCAAGTAGAACGCGAAATAAAGAAGTCGAACAATTCGATTCTGTAGTTCGGCCGTGGGGGCCTTGAACCAATCAGAATCCCCGGGGTTGCCGAGACGCGCCCGACCCAAACATTCCGACTTTGCTCCAAAACAAACCACCTCCGATCTTCAACTTCTCCCTTTTACTCTTAGAATGCCTCCAATGCACAGAAATTCTGGCTTACATGACGATTCATTTTCGCTCACAAACTTGGACGAAATAATGGGCACCTCAACACGACGTGTTGACGAGGAGCTTGACTACAATATCAACACATCAACACTAGACCGTGCTTTCCCCGAATTTTCGCAAATACAGACCTCCGAGGAGGAGGAACACGAGCTGGACGACGATTTTTTGCATAGCGATCTCGACATGTCCGTTGAGGTGGGACGCGGTGCTGCCAAACCAACACGCGACGACTCGCGCAGCTCCATGATGAGCTTCGAGAATAGTGTACGCTCATCTTCGCCCGCAATGCGCGTTGAATACCCAACACCACAAAAACCAGTTGCGGCCACGCGTCCGTCGCGTCGCGCAGTCAGTGAAAACCTACGAAAGAACGCTCAGGTGCGACGAGCGACGCAAGCGCAGCAAGAAACCATGAGCCCGCAAGTGTCGAAGGCTCAACGTGACCAGCGGAGGACATTCTCTGACATGCACGCAAAAGTGCGCGACAGCTACGAGGGTTCATTTTTGGGAGACGAACGACCAGCCCCTATTGCGACGAAGGCGCGTTCGACGCGTTTTGGAAACGCAAACACCTCACAGGAGATTGCAGACGCAATCGAGCGAGCTTCGCGGGACGCCTACGCGAAGGAACTTCGCAAATCGGCTTCCAACGCCGCAGGAACTCCTCGCAAAAGCAGTGCCAATGCAGCCAACACCAACACTATTGGTGATACCATGACCCACCAATCATTCCTTCTTCCCGACCTCCCTAACATCTCTGAACTCGTCTCCGGTGTGTACGAAGATGGCACACCGGTTTACTCCCGACAGAGCAAGATGCGCTCGACCCGATTTGTTTCCCCACTTCATGATCATACAGACGTGTCTCTTCCCCACGAGCATATGCCGCTGGATGCAGTGCCCGTCCCCGAAGATGAGAAGGCCTTGTTTGTCCATCTGAGACTACTTCAGGATAAGGTCGCAGAATTGGAGATGTTCAAGTCGGAGGCAGAGAGAAGATTGGACAGCTACCGCCAGGAGAATTCTTCTTTGAAGGCGAACAGACCTCGCCAGTCATCGGCAAAATACGAACCAGACGATAATGCGCACAAAAAGGGAACCAAGCGCTTGGAAAACGAGAACCAAAAGTTAGACGCAGCCAATCTCGCTTTACAAAACCAGTTGGACATTGCCGATCGAAAGGCCCAGGTCCAAGAGTCTGCCATCAAGCGCTTGAATCATGATAGAGAGTCGGCTATCTCACAACTTGGGGCCGCTTATCTCGAAACTCGAGAGCTGAAGGCCGAGAATGATGAATTGCGACAGGAAAATGCGGATCTCAAGTCCCAGATCAGCCGACTTAGGGGCCGCAAGGCTCGTGAACAGGACACCGTCGAATCCGACGCTAGTTCAGCCGTGTCTGAGGATGTCGACGACAGCCAACTTTACACTGAGCGCAGTGGAGACGCTAGTCGGAGCACCAGAGACATTACCTCAAAAAGCAACCGCTCCACCACAAGGACCAGACGCCAGGATGACTCCCGGTCCAAAGTGTCTACTCAAGTGGACAGGGAATTTTCTCGACTTGAAAAGGAACGTGCCGATGAGGCTCTCTTCTCTATTGAGGTGCCTCAATCAAGGCGTACATCAACTTCTAAGCCATCAAAGTATGTGTCTCGCTCTTCTGAATCAAAGAGCTCCCGGAAACAACCCAATACGAGCAAACAGCGCGTGAAGCGAGTGGTAGTTGAAGATGTGACTGGACCCGAGGTGTCCGAGCAGACAAGGGCTTCATCTGAAACAGACGTTACTCTGTTGAGTGTTATTGATGAACATGAAATCTCTCGTCTACGCAAGACACTAGAAGAAGAAAGAATGATGCGCAAGCAACGACGTTCGAGTGCCCCTAAGGAATCCAATCCTACAGAGACTGTCAATTCGACTAGACAGAGCATTTTGAAAACCCCTGCCCCTCGCAAGTCATCTCTTCGCGAGTCCAAAGCAGAAATCCCTCGCCCAGCCTCTGCTACTGGAGATATTACCACCGCCTCGAAGGAAAATGCCGATGGAGACAGTAGTCTCACAGTACCTACTGCAGAGCGTTCCCGGCGCCATTCAGATAATTCGTTGCCTACAACTTCCCAGCGCAAGAAGCAGCGTAGTGTCACTGACATGACCTCCGCTTTCATCCTTCCTGATATCACCCTTCAGCACATCGACTTGGCAGCGGCTGACCTATCTAAGCTACCACAAGCCACCCAGAAAGCATTGGATAGCATTGCTCGACACAACGGACAGAACTGCACAGTTTGCAATTGTCACTCCACTGACGGCACCTGCAGTCACGAGTCTGTGAAGATCGTCAAACCCATTCCTGTGTCAGAGCGTATGCCCAAGCCATCCGTCTGGAACGAAGATCCCACTATGCGCCCCTCGCAAGCCCCTGCCCTCGCTCTTGCTACTGTTCTCAAGGGCCTAGAAGACGAGCTTTCTCACCTGAAGATGCAGCTAGCCACACACCAAAGCGCCTACAACAAGCTTGACGCATCCCTTGGCAAGCGCCCGCGCAAGGCCCTGCAAGAAAAGATAGACAAAATTTTCAAGGACATCGATATGAAGTCCGACCAAATCTACGCTCTCTACGATGTTTTGGAGGGCCAAAAGCAAGACGGTCGTGAGATGACCGAGCACGAAATGGAAGCGACTCTTGAATCAATTGGAATTGACGTCGGTATGTCCCATGCACCTGATGTCACTGGTACTACCGATAAGTCTTCTCGTCACGGCCAGATCGACCTGGATGATGAAGAGGATTTGCCTTGGGAGGGCATTGAGAGCACTACTGAGATGACTGGCCACCTTTCTCTGCGTGGTCTGAGCTGATTATTGCATCGCATTGCGTCTGTTGATATTATTTCTGGTTACTTTCTGCTTCTTTGGCGCTGTTTCATGGAGTATGATTCCATCTGTATGTTTAATTCTTTGATTTGGGTAATCGATTGTTGGTTAAGTAGCTAGTTCTTGGTACTTAAATGTCATTGCGGTTGTACCGCGGCCTTGGAAATAACTTCTTCCATCCCTTGTTCAATGTAGCGCAGGTCTCTTTTCAGACCGTTTACTTGTTTTGAACCTCTTGAGATATGCAGTGCCGTACCCCAAGCGAACAAAAATAAAACGCCATCGCTATGCTCATAACACAATAAAAATACATGCAAGCCCCAAAGCCTTGGCAAACTAAGTCGAAATAGCATTCAGGCAGTGTTCTCATTCTCCGCGGCAATAGCAGCACCCTCTGTAGCCGTCGACTTCGTAATATTAGCAGCATCTCGCTGAGAGATCTCCTCCCCAACAAAGCAGCTCAACCCAGCAAAAGCCTCAAGCAGTGTGCGCGAGTAGTATTCACGCAAATCATAACCACCAGCCAGCATCCGCGCATCATTTCGAATAGGATCAAGATACTGCGACGGATAATACGACTGGAGCGTGTAATAATCGCGCTTTTCGGGCACATAGCCCATAAAGGGATCGTACGGCTTCTCCGGCTCGGGCGTCTTGATCTTGCGCAGACCTTTGACAAGGCCCGTATCCGCTGCACCACCATGATCGACTGTGGAAAGAGTCGACCCGCGCTTGGTCTCCGACCGCAGCGCAGCCTGCTTCTGTCGAATGCGTTCCTCCTCGCTGCGGCGCGCGGACGACTTCTTGAGCAGCACCTTGTGTCCTTCGCGCGCGATGGCCGCGGCATCTGTCGATGAGCCGGAGGCGAGTCTTGAGAGGAAATCCTCGCGTCCGGCTTGGATCTCGCGCCGCTCAGTCTCGTATTCCTGGCGTACCGCTTGCCGGCGCAATCGGGCTTCTTCTTGTTCGAGGGTCATGCGGGCTTGGAATGAGGAAGCTTCCTCGGCTTCGATGGCTTGGTTTGTGCGGATTGATTGCATGTTATCTGCTGCGTATTTTTGGAGCTGGGCTTCGGTTTTCGCCACGTCGATGCGGCTTACTAGGTTCGCGATTATGTCCTCTCTTTGTTCGAGGAAGTCGTCATATGCGCGTTTTGAGTCAAATTCTTCTTCGCGACGGTTCAGGCTGATCAAGATGAATTGTTAGCCCTCAGATATTACATGGTGCTTCGGGGTGTTTGGTAAGACACGTACATGTGCATTACTCGCCGCCGGATATCTACTTCTCTTTCCACCCCGATATCTTCGAATGTCTGCTTGCGGAACCGATTTTTACGCAGCGTCTTGCGACACCCGGCCACCGGACAGTTTGCGGGACCGGATGAAAAAATGCGGTCCACGCATGACTCGCACATCTTGTGGTAGCATTCCGGGTTGATGAGAAAGCGCATGTCCGGGTTGAGGTATCGCGACGATTTGCAGACAGGGCAAACCTCTGCGCAAAGATATGGTTAGCATTATGCCGTCACGACGAAGCCTAATAGCATCTTACCGTCTTCATCACGGCGAGAAGCCGCATCGGTGGCCATGGTGAAAGTAAAGTGACGTGGGAGAGACGGACCACCGACTGGGTTGAGGCTGATAAGCAACCCATGCGCACGGACCACACCCTCGTCACCTTTTTGCGGCTTTTTTTCTTTTTGCCTCCGGCAACCCCTCTCTTTGCTCCGTTCCAATTGACATAGTCAGTGTAAAGCTGCCGCTGAGTTTTAGCTTTTACAACAATGGGAGTACCGAACCCCAACCTCGATGCTCTCGAGGAGCAGCGCCTCGCGCTCGAAGAAAACATCCTCCAACTTCAGAAATCGCTTTACCACTGGCGAACCTGGGAAGCGGAATACGATGGACTCCGCGAGGAAATCAGCAACCTAGAAGATGATTCTGGTACAGAAGAGTTCCTTGCCGTGGCCCTGGAATTTGGCGGCACGCTGGTGGATCAGAAGGAAATGCGGACAATACTTGGTTCGCAAGGTGTGAGGCGGTCTCGCGGGCAAGTGGTTGATCTTCTCGGAAGACGCATCGACTACGTGCAGCAGAACGTTGCGACTATGGAGAAGAGGCTTTTGAAGGCCCAAAATGAGCTGGACGCTTTGGTCTCGAATGATCAGCCACTGCTGCAGGATGGTGCGGAGTTCCCGATGCAGGAGATTATGGAAGAGCTTGATGAGGATGGGAACGTCGTCTCGAGCAAGATCAACACGCCCGGGAATGATGCTTCGGAATTGCTGGATGTGCTGAAGAAGGCTGGTGTCAAGGATATTCCGGAAACGAGTGGGCCGGAAAAGACTGCTGAAACTCCTGTCGATACTACACTTGAGAGCGTGGTGGGTAATCCGGTCAGCTCGAAGGCTGCAATTCAGCAGAACGGTTCCTCAAGCGGCGATAATACAACCATCCAGCCAAACGGCGCATCCCTGAAATTCTTTCAACCCCAGTCTGTCGTGACTGCCGAAGATCGCATGCAGCCGCCTGTGACGGACGTGAATGAATCTGCGGAAGAAGCAAGACTTCGCCGCGAAATGCTTGATTATGGGATCAACGAGGTGGGGGCTATTGTGGCAGAGTTGGAAATGGATGAGTCCGGAAGTGACGTCTCCTTTGATGAGGAATACGATTACGACTACGACGAGGAAGATAACGAAGACGAACACGGCCGCTCTCACACCCGCCTTCCGGCAGAATACCACCAGCAGATGATGGAATTAGAGGCCAAGCTCAATGCCCGAGGCCTGATGAACATGGGCAAGGATATCGAGACGTTCCCCGAGGAAGTGCAGCACGAGATCGCGACACCTGCTGAGGTTGAAACTTCCATCAAAGAGAAGAAGCCTAAGAAACGGGTTGCATTCGCTGATGACCTTGATATCGCACCGGCTCCCACACCCCCGACCATCGCCGAGAGGACTTCTGCTGTACGGGCCGAGCCTCAGGTGCTCGCTGATTCCATTGTTGAACGGACCAGTCGTGCCCCGGAGCTCTCTCCAGCCACCTCCACTGTTCCTAAGAAGGCGTCGCGGTTCAGAAGTGCTCGGGCCGCTGCTCCAGCTAGTCCCGCTGATGGATCTGTTACTACTGGGGCTACAACCGTAAATCCCGTACAAGTCACCGAATCCCGCATTCGCAAACAAGCCAATACAACTCCATCTGCGGTGCCGCCTGTCCTCTTCCCTGCGAGACCAAAAGAGCCCAAACCCTTCTCCGCACCGATCTCCGATGTAATTGAGAAACCTTCTCCGCCTCAATTCCCACATGACCGAACTCTAGCCGAAAAGGTCTTTGAGCGACAGGTCAAAACAGGAGCCGCAGTGGCTCCTGAATTGGATCACTACGACGAGGAGCTTCACCAGAAGCAGATCGCGTCGGAGTTCTTCAATATGCAAAGACGCATCAATGGTGCGCCTAAAGACGACGAGGAACAGGATACTTTGCCTCCTGAGGAAGATCAACCTAAACGGGTGAGCAAGTTCAAAGCTTCACGAATGGGATAGTTTTCCAAGAGTTGGGGGGCTTCTCTTCTCTAATCCACCTATATATCCATCTATTTATCAACAATAATTGTAACGTTCTTTTATAGATATCTCCCTCTTATTGGTATAGTAACTTGTATAGAGGTGTTGAAAACGAGTCGTGCATATGACTGTTTGTTTGTTTTGTTTGTCTTCCTAATCCACCTCCCTCTCTCTTCTTCCTCCCCTTCTTCCTTCCTCTAACCAACGGGCTTCCAATTTCTTCTGGGTTTACCCTCAAGAAAAATTAAGGTGCATACCCCTATCTGCTCGAGAGATGGGAAACCATGGTATCACTCACTAACTGAAGTCCAAGATGAAAAGAGGGCTTCTCTGGCTGCACTCCTACAATTCTGCCAGAACAGGAGAGAAATCGTATGGTACTCGTGCTTCTCCTCTGGGGAGGTTCAGAGCAGCTACGGGAGTATTGACTGTCTGTGGGGATGATAGATGGAGGTGTGGTTTATTTATTCTCTCTCGACATCACACCTGTATATAGCTTAATTTGGAGTGAATGCGTATGTCTCGACTTTTGTCCCACTGTCACCTACTATAATTTGCAACTAGCTATGGATGCTATGGTTTCTTATCAATATAAAGTAAATTTGTATATTGAATCCCGAATACTACCAGTTTAAATGAAGTCTATGTTACCCAGTCCGCCGGTTTCGCGGCCCTTTCATTTGGCGTCTAGCGGGAGAAGGCGTGGGGGATAGGGAGCGCCTTGGGAGCATTCTTGCGAGGAGAGCTCTGGATCAGGTGCTCAAAAGAGGCAGCATCCTCAACACGGGGGGTGAAAGGCTCGAAGTTCCAGAGGTAACCAAGAGTGCGGAGCAGAGAACTAGCCGAATAGGACTGGGTCTGGCCATGGTAGTTGGTACCCTTCTGCTCAACGTAGCCCTTGCTGACCCAGGGAGAGATGAGGAGAGTGGGGATACGGCCACCCAGACGGTTGAATTCAAGAGTGTACTCCTCGCCGTTGGCAGCTTTCTCGGTGTAGGTCAGGTTGTCTGGGCGAGTGGCCAGGGGGGAGGAACGTGGTCGTGGAAGCCACCGCTCTCGTCGAAGGTGAGGACGAAGAGGGTCTCCTCCCACTGGGGGCCGGCACGGAGAGACTCGTAGACCTTCTTGATGAAAGCCTCGCCATCGGAAATGAGACCGCTGTCGTGCATGGAGGTGGTACCAACACCGCAGCAGGAGGGGTTCAGGTAAGAAAACTCGGGCAGAGCGCCGTTGGCGGCATCGGTGTAGAACTGCTCCATGGAAACAATCTTATCCTCGTTGCTGGTGGCCTTGGTCCAGGCGAACCATTGGGCCTCAGGACCGGTACCACCAGCGGTGTCCCAGTAGTTGAGCCAGGTGTGGTTGGTCTCACTCAACTGCTGGAAGATGGAGCGCTGGGTGAAGGCATAGGTACCGAAAGTGGCATCGTTGGAACCGTGGCCAGCGGAGGTACCAGCAACAACAGCGAATCGGTTAGGGCAGGTAGGCTATATTGAAATCAGTATAATAGTCTCGAAACAGTGACATCAAAGTGTCCACTTACACCAGCGATATCAGAGTGCCAGTGGTTGAAGGTCAGGAAGTTCTTAACCAGCGAGGTCAGAACGGGGGTCTGTGCCTCGGTGTAGTAGTTCATGACCTGCTTGGCCAGCACAGCCTTGACAGTCTCGTTGGCAGTAGCACCATGGTTGTTGATCTGCTCGTGGATGAAACCCTTGTTGTTGGGAACCAACTTGCCATTGGCAATGGCGGCGTTGTCGGGAGTCCACTGGCTGAAGAACTCCATGGTGTTACCAGTGACAGCGTGGCTAGGATCATCAGTCACGGAGTCATAGTCCTTGGCCTCCGAGCAGTGGTGTCCCTGGGAGGGATCGGTCACGTTGTAAGGGTTGCAGAAAGGACCATTGTGGATGGGGTTATCCAGACCGGCAATGGTTTGACCACCAAGAAGGTTGTCCAAAGAGCGGTTCTCCATAACGAGAACGACAACATTCTTAACGTGGGACTTCAGATTCGCAATGGAAGAACTCGAGTGAGCGGTACTAGACTTGTAGGGAGCAGCAGTCGCCGCGGCGGCGAGGGCCAAGAGGCCAACAAGAGCACTGGCATGCATATTGGCGGATTGTCTAGCTCGATTCTTCTGGAAGAATAAGAAGTTGTCGTTGTCCAAGAAAGAAGTCTTCAGTAGCAGTGGAACGGAGCGCCTTTTATATTTGATATTTGGATACAAGCCATGATGGAAATTGCTTGTCTTCAACCCATGTGGGCGCTATGCACGCCGACCAAATCAAGCCTGCATCTAAAATGCTTGTATACGAGCGTCCAGCCTAGAACTGGAGCTCGCATAATTTCTCCGAGAGACCCGATGGCAAGTTTCAAGTACTCGTCTCCCAATGAGATCAAATCAAGCAACCACGGGGGATGAGGACAGACTCGATCAAATATCGGTTAAAATGAGAGTGAAGCGCTAGCATCTGTCAGCGTTACAAGGATTGGTTACAAGCATATACTTGCACAATCGCCATGACGATCAGTTTCCTCTTCCATCTACGTCGATATGAAGATGAAAGAGTTGTACCTGAGTTGACAACCTCGGCCGCAACACTATACCAAAAAGGGAAGCTGATCAACGTCGGGGTCCGGCATCTAATTGCTCGAAAGTCCCTAGTCGCCCCGTGGAATTCTGTAGCCAAATGATTGGGCAATTTGCTTTCAGCCGGCAAATCGTAGTCTACGCTATTGTCAGCGCAGCCGCTAAAACGGGCGATTGGCCCGTCCACGTGAGTAGGATTAATAAACATTCGTCATGTGATGTTTTATTACTGGATTAGCCGATTCAAATTATCGTGGTGAAGCTGTACTACTTGCAACGTCTGGTAAGTTACTGTATTGTAAAATAACAGACCAGTGGAGATGTAGGGAACGTGCCTTGAGGGATAGATTGAAGCTTCTCGACACAATCCAATCATTTGTCGGCAGAGGAGAATGTGTCCCAGACAAACCCACAGGCACATATATTTAATGAGAGTGGAGGAGTTTCTGTCGCAACTAGGCTAGCTGCGAGCAATGGACCGAGCACCGGAGAGTCGGAGACCAACATATTCTACAAGCGATGCCCGGTACTTCTAATGCTCATCACGGTAAAAGTCACCGGGTTTTGAGGAAGCTTATCTGCTGTGGATCCCTTCTCGCTCAACGGGCATGTTTATGGACATTTCCCCACTGAACCCGGAACTGCCCTACAGGGAGAGCCGATGCCGGAAATGATTGATGGGTCTGAGACCCTAAACTAGTAAGTCAATTCAGGGAAGACTAAACTGATTGTGTAAAATCCAAGTAGTACATTGAGGGCTGCTTGCCTCCATGGAATACATCATCGACTCGATAACAGAGGCACCGTTGGGGGAGTGTCATGTAGATGTACACTAAAAGTGCTAGGAAATAATAGATGCAAGGCATACCAATTAGAGTGCTCACAAATTAATATCCGAGTTTCTGCGCCAGATACATAGGGCGCCTAGACGGAAACCCAGCCCGACGACCAGTAAGTGTAAAAAGACGGCAAGAGTCTGAGTTTGGATACTGCGGGCTCTCAAAGTAAATGCTGCAGAGAGAAGGAGAGGGTAAAGGATCCAAGGGTTGACGGCCAGCGGTGAACATGGATGAAGAAGGGATATGATCTTGACAAGGAAGAGAGTGAGTTGTAAGACAGGCGAGGATAGCAATGGGTTCAAAGATGTCAGGTAATTAAGGAAGGGGAAACGACTCGGTGGGGGTGGGAGGAGATGATGTTGAGGGAGCGGAGGCTGGGGCTGCGGATCGAGGGGCGATGATGCTTCATGAGGAGATTGGACTGGAGAAGAAGTTGGTGAAGTAGAGTAGCGATGCCGGATGATCATGTCTTGATCTGGGCTAGCAGAAGGGCCCTCTGGGTTGGTGTCAGACACAGGCGCCGTATTGCTTCGAAAATGACTAGAGTCAGACATCGAGTCACCCCGGAAAGATGCTGGGTTTCGGTGCAAACTTTTGGTGGGAGAGAGTGCTCGCTCTACAGATGGCTGCTGGCTATCCAATGGGCGGATCCGAGCCGCCCCAGGCAGGTCGGAGCTTCCCGAGCTGGCTTTTCTGAAGCGGAAGTTCTCATTTGAATTTGCGCCGACTTGGATTCCATTTAACACCTCGTCAGCTGAGGGCCGTCGACTGGGATCAACCGAGAGCAAGCGCTCTAGGAACTTATACAGCTTTTCGGGGAGATCGGAGCGGATAGCGCGTGCGTGGTCAAATCCAGCCCAGCTGGTGATCTCTGCACGAAGCTGATCCAAGTCCTCTTTTTCTTCGTTAATGAGGTCGGCATTCGCGTATGGAAGAGCTGCGAAACATAGAAAGTAAAGAATCATTCCGAGGGAAAAAATATCGGACTTGAACGTAAAATTGCCGAATGGTCCGCCAGGATATTCTTGACGAAGAACTTCGGGTGCACAGTATGAAAGAGTACCAGTTGCACCAGTAGACATGCGCATTGCATTTTGAGACTGCACCTCACCGAAATCACTGACTAAAACTCTGATGCCATCACCGGTCTCGTGCAGCAGGCAGTTGTTTGGTTTTAGGTCACGATGGATGTATCCATTAGCGTGAAGATAACGGAGTCCAGAGGTGATATCACGGAAGAAGGAATATATCTCGTCTAGTTGAAGTGTACGAGCTCCTCCGAGTTTGCTTCGAGGGTCCGGTTCGCCTTTGGATTTACGGCGAAGGCGGTCCTTTAATTGCTGCGCAGTGGTGGAGGTTTGAACAGAGCCACAGATGTAATCATGCAAATCCCCGGCATTGCAGTATTGCTGTAGAATAAATGCGCAAGGCACACTCGGACCGAAGGTGCTTATCTTTGCATTCTCCAGCCAGACATGACGGTACGAGACAAGATTCTGGTGTGAGAGATGCTGCAACAGCTGCACTTCACCCAGAACCTTTTCTAGCCACTCATGATCGTCGCCGACGGGCACGCGCTTGCAGGCATAATGACCAAGAGACACACTATCCAGGACATGCTTCACTAGCAGCACCACTCCTTTTCCACCTTTGCCTAACACTCGTTCCTCCACAAAGAACCTCTTGAAGTAATCTGGACTGAATGCTGCAGAGGAAATTCCCTGTGGTGAGGGCTGTGGCGGTGGTTGTGGAGATGATGTAGGTTGGACGGACGCGTTATTAATAGGCCGACGGGGTAGCGCAGGCTGAACAAGGCGATGGCGTGGAGAAGGAGGAGTCGAGGATGTTGCAGAGCTGGGGAGGCTATTGTTGAGCATGTGAAAGTAGTTTGGGTTAATAAATTCGCCTTCGGGCTCAGTATCCCCACAATGTCGTTCTCTGCTATTCTCGCGCATTGAGCGATGGCAGAATGGGCAGTTGGCTAGCTCCAAATGGTCAATGTCTTCATCTGACGTATTGCGGAGAACGAGCTGCTGAGAATCATGGTCAAAGACAACCACCGAGTCGTTGTGCCGCCTTTTACAATTAGATAACCAGTAGCACATATTTGAAGACCACTTACAAAACAACATCAAGGTTTCCTCCGTTATAGGGAATCATAGACATGTCGGCGGGCATTTTAGCATTGACGTGAGGGAATAAGGGTGCAAGCTGCCGGTGATGACGATGTAGACCTGGGGGCGGTGAAGGTACGGTTGTGGATAGTGACACTTTTGAATCAATATCTCTCCTGACTTTCCTTATATCCCTGGTTGGTACTCTTTATAGGAAATGGGGTGAGTTAGAGTTTAATTATACCTTAGCCCAGGGAGACTCGATGTTTCAGCCGAATTGAGATCAATTCGGGCATCTTCACGAAATCTGAAACAGCGAAATGAGGCTGATCTATAAGTGCCCAGGTACCCAGGTGGGGGTGCAGCTTACACAACGCACACAGCTATTGTCAGCCTGATAACCACCTTGAACAGAACCCCAGTTTTAGCCTGATTTGAATCCCAATGGACCCGATCTCTATCACCGGTCTCGTAATAGAGGTCAGCCATGTGCTGTCGAGCCTGATCAGGTATGGCAAAGCGGTGCAGACCGCAAAGTCCGAAGTGCGAAAACTCAGCGAAGAGCTCTTTGCTCTAAAGGGGATCTTAGAGCACCTGGCAGCACATTCAACTGATATCGCCAAATGGGAGGAATCGGAAACAAGCCTGTTTGACCGCGACGTCATGGCGAGAGTATTGCACACAACAAACGAGTTCCTTCAATCCTTCCTCGTGGACTTGGAGACGTCCGAGACAAAGTTCAAGCGCCTCAAGCAAGCTCTGAAGTGGCCATTTACTCAGACGCAAGTCATTGACCATCTGGCCCGTCTGGAAAGAGTCAAATCGTGGTTGATGCTGGTTCTCATGGCGGATCATAATTCGGTGGATCGGGAGATGCAGCATGAGATTCGTGATCTGACAAACACTCTAAAGGAAGACTTGCACATTCGAGCTCAAGAGCGGAACCAATTTTTTAACAGAGAGCTTCTACAATGGATCGCTCCCGTGAACCCTGAAAGCTCTCATCTGCGGGCATCAAAAAGACATAGAAATGGGACTGGTAGATGGTTCGTCGACGGTTATTTGAAGACGTTTCTCAACCAAGAAGAAAATCGATCTTTCTTCCTCCTGGGAAAATGTATGTACCCATTGCAACCTTTAAGACATTTCACTGACATAGTTGTGAAGCTGGAACTGGAAAAACTACGCTCTTGTAAGTTCCATTTGGCAATCCAGTTGCATCTTATATCTGACTTTCGCTAGTGCACAAGTTGTAAATGAACTTACTTATATGGCTTCTCAAGGTCAATCCATGTCCCTTGCTTATTTTTATTGCACAATCAGTGATTTTGCCTCTCAGAATGCAAGGAACGTCCTAGGATCACTTGTGGCACAGCTCTCGGGCACAGCTCCTTCAATTTTGGATGATATTCGGTCTATCTATAACAAAGGCCCAAAGAATCAGGCGCATAGGTTCCCTATCGAATTGTCTGTTCTCGAAGCTGCCATCCTCAAATATGCTTCTGGAACAACCAAGATTGTCCTTCTGGTTGATGCAATCAATGAAAGCCATGATATGCAGCTTCTTGAAGCCTCCCTTCTCAGGCTTGCCAGTTTATCCACGAACATCCGCGTGCTTATAACTACTACAAGCACCATGGGCTCCATCAAACACCCCAATGCATCTGTCTTGAACATAAGCGGAAAGTCGCGAGGAGACATTGACACCTTTATCAAATACCGGCTTCAGACTGATAGTACGTTGAGCAATTTGGCACCAGAATTCCGAGCGGAAATTGAATTCACTCTTCTTGGAAATGCCGATGGATCGTCAGTACAGTACCGATCTGACTATGCTTTCTGTGATCTAATTATTTATTCATAGATTCCGCTGGGTCCAGCTCTCATTGGACAACCTGAGCACGCAGCGATCTGTAAGGGCGATGCGACAGGCCTTACAGAACCTCCCAGGGACTTTACGCGAGACATATGCAAGTATGTTAGAACGAATTGCCCCTGACGACTGGAAGATTGCTCGTGAGGCCCTCTTTTGGCTCAGCTTCACCAAACAGCCTCTTACTTTGAGGAGTCTCAACGAAGTTGTGGTCACGGATGAGACATGCATGACACTCGATGAGGATATGATGCTTGTCCCGCCCCATATTATTCTTGACATTTGTCAAGGACTCATCACTGAAGACCAAAATGGTTATCTGAATCTCGCGCATGCGTCTGTCAAAGATTTTCTAACATCTGATTGGATCCGCTCATCTCGAGTCCAATATTTCGCCCTGGATGCTGCAACTGCAGATCTGAAAGCCATGCACAGGTGTCTAACGTACTTATGTCTCGACAACTTTGCACAGGGATACTTGAAATACCCCGAAAACCCAGCCAAAGTACGACATGATCATGCTTTCATGACTTACGCCGCAAACTTCTGGCCACAACATGGTGCCGCCTGCGGCTTTGGGGAGCGCAAACAAGATATGATCCATAAATTCTTTGCTACGAGGTCTCTTCCTGGCCGCGGAAATTATGGCACATGGATACAGGTCCTGTTACGAACAACCGCTGCTTCAAACACGACTGATGCTATAGCCATTGATGGAACGCATCCTCTATACTACGCCGCCTCGTTTGGGATGGTTCCAGTCGTCGAGTATATCCTTGCTTCCGAACCAGACATCGATATCAATGCCCCTGGTGGCCGTACTGGAGCCACACCGGTGTGGATTGCCAGCCTTCGCTTTAACTTTGAGGTTGCGGATGTCCTCCTGCGTGCTGGAGCTGATCCATCCATCAAAGATCCAGGTAGTGGGCTTAATGTGCTTGATCTTTTGAGGATGGTGCCGACCCATCGTCAAAACTACCAAGGTCTTCGACCCATTTTAGCTCGTTCAGCACCTTGGAAGGGTCAAATGAAAGGATGAAGGGGAAATCAGTGCACTTTTATTACGAGTTGCCTAGTTAAGATGGATTTGACCAAGAATGTCACTATTTTCTGCCACAATTCTCTCCCCAGATTCAACCCGTGGTTGAAGGGTGGAACCACAACCCAACTAATCCGAACCTTACGATCCACGGGTTGCCCGGCAGCAGGTGCAATCCCGGATCATGGAGCAACGTGTACTAAGATAGTAATTAAAACAACGGGAAAGGGTTTAAGTAAGAATTATTTTCATTCATTTTGATTCCTCATCGAATCGGGTATCTGAGTTGGAGCTGATGACTGAAAACACCAGAACTCCTAGGGTTGTACAAATTATGTACTGGGATGCTCACGGTTGATAACGTGGCTTTTAGATGACAGGCGCTTTGCAGGCCTGCACGACATATCGCAAGGCATTCTTCAGACTTATGTGCGATAAAAGCACATGCCGGATGCCTTGTGGAGAGCCAAGTCCGCTCAATGGGGACATGAGGAAGAATGACTCGGCTTGAAGCTCTGTTGTTTCAAGAGCTAGCATAACCGATCTCATGGCGGCATACTGTCTGTTTTTCGTAGGGCGGAATGGGGATGACACTCAAGTGCCTTGAAGAACACCAATGGACCAATCACTCCTCCTCGCCACTCTCCACATCGCTGACCTCCAAGTTGGCGATCGAATCATTATCGCTGTCCTCAGCATCAACGGCTTCATCCTGAGCAGGCTCAAACTCGGAATCGGCCTCGGCGGCCTTGGCGGCAGGCTCATTGTTCTCATCCAGCTTGCGCTTCCGGGGCATCTCGCCGAGTCGACCTTCACGGCCCTCGATACCCTCGACAGTCTCTTCATCCTTCTCCTCGCCCTTCTCACCCTTCCCGGTACCCTTGGGTGGGGGTGTGTACCATGGAATCTTTCCACGAAGGAAATCGTTGATCACCATCTTAGCAACACCATCCAGATCGGCCTCACCTCCCTTGAGGAGGCGACCGCCCTGGCGAGCAAGAAGCGCGAGCCAATCGAGGTAGTTCTCCTGGTACTTGATACCATAGGTGCGCTCAAGGTGACGGGGCAGGACACGGCGAAGAACGGCCGGAATGTATTGCTCTGGATTGTGAACGTTCTCCACTCTGCAGACTCCACGGAGAAGGATGTCCTCCTCGGTATCGTTGACGTTGGGTGGGACCACACCAGGGCAGGATCAATGAATGAGATAGATTCTCTTCATCAAGGTGATATACTGCCAGACCTTGGTTTCACCCGGAATGGGAGCGACTGTGCACACCTTCTTGTTTCGGAGTGTGTTGATGATGGAAGACTTGCCCGTGTTAGGGTAGCCGATCAAGCCAACAGACACCTGCTTGCGGTCGGAATGAAGGGATGAGAACTGGCGAAGCAGTGAGATCAAAGAGCCCTTGCCGAAAGAGTTGTTGATATTGGCATGGAAAGCAAGACAGGGGTAGTCCTTAGAAAGATGACGAACCCAAGCGGCCTAGTCAAAGATGCAAAGTTAGCAATCAGTCACTAGCAATAAATGAAACATTGTGTAAAGATGGAATGTGTGGGATGTTACTAAGAAGTCTGCTACAACGCCACCAAATAGGGGCAGAAGCAGACCTCTACTCAAAAACAAAACACAGCTGGCCCTTTGCGACAGACCTTCAAGACGAAAGCAAGTCAACCTAGGTTCATAACGAAATTCGGTGCGGGCCAGTGTTAATATACCAAAGCTGTAACAGACGGAATTCCATTGAAACAAGCACAACCGAAGTCGTGCACGACCGAAGTCGCAGGAAGAAGCCTTGACTTAGCGATGGAACAGGGGATAACAGGAAAACGCAGGACAGCAAAGAAAGCAATAACCGAGTGATCAAAAGGGATATCAAATGGGAAATAGTGAAACTTACAGCAACGCCGGTGGGGACGAGATCGCACTTGTTCAGAACGAAGATCAAGTGCTTGTGGGGTGCCTCCTCACGAACGTATTTCTCAACACTTCTGCAACGAGTACCTTCGGGATCACGGGAATCCAGGACATGGATGATGACATCAGAAGAATCAATGACCTTGTAAAGTTCGTTCCAGATACGCTTACTCTGTCCCTTGGAAAAGACAGATTCACGAGAGGTGGTGAGTAGACCCAGATCTTCGACCGCGGCAGTGTCGTCACCGCGAACAATTGCGCTTCCATCGGCATGAGTTCCCTCGTCGTTCTTCTCAATGTAGGTGTCCTGCATCTTGGCTGTTTCGCCAGCGAGGTCTTCGAGAGACGACACACCAAGCTTAACGCGCTTGCGCTGGGCCTTGGGGCCGAAGGTATCATTGAAAGGAGAAGTCTCAATGGTCATCTTAGCCTGATGTTGCTTCAAGCCATTGACTTTATCATTGTCCCGAATCAAGCTCATGGGGAGCTTGTTGGTCTTGAGAAGAACTTGGTACGGGTCGGCCGCACGCTCCGCAACAGCATCACGGAACGAGGTCAAAGCCTCTTGTGAGATGACACGGGAGTTAGCAAACCATTTACGGTTTGGCTCGATGCGGGCTGTTGGCAACTCTTTAGATTGATAAGTCGCGGCAACTGTGATATCACCCTGCGCGTTGCGGCGCGGCGTGCCAGACTTGAACATGTTCAAGGTCTTGACCTTCTTGGCATCACTGGGTGGTAAGTCAGTATTTGTTGCAAAATAATGCGGATTTTTGCTTAGGCTGTACATACCGGTAAAAATTTTCACCTTTGGTCTTGACATTGGCCATGCCATCATCGGGCTTTCCCTGCCGCACTTTACGAGCGGCCTCCTTCTTTCCTGTACCCATGATAGCGGTTGTGGTATAAAATATGAGAGGATAAGTAAGTGCCTAACGAAAAAAAAGTCGAAGGCAAGACCAAACACAGAGAGTGGCAGAGTGCAAAGAGAAGAGGAAGAAAAATAAAAGGCGGCGAGGAGTTTTTTTTTTGGCGCCAAGACATTGCAGTGCACGGACCAGGCAAAATCGCTTCTGTTTCTTCCGACTTACTCGACCGCGTATCCTCCCTATTATACGGTAATCAACCTCAGGTTACGTCGCGGCTTAATCTGAAGGCCGTGTCATTGATCTTTGATTGATAATTTACTTTACAACAATCCCCTGCCAGCTTTACTACTCCACGGAGTGACAGGGTTGAATTGCGCCGTATGTCTGTCCTCCGCAATAGCCGGACTGCCACTGTGCAGGTCCGAGGATTTGCTTCCTCCTCCAACCTTCGAGTTGGGCCAGAATCGCCTCACTTCATCGATGTGCCGAAAATTGTTCAGCCCACCAACCCCCGCAAACCTCATATCAGAGGTACTCTACCCGTGCCTCGCGAGCTCTTCCCAGCCCGTCGAGCGGACAAACCCCGGATACAATATCTCAATGCGGTCACACAACTCCCCAAGTCTGAACGGGTAGTGAGCCCAAACAGCAGCAACCCCGAGAAGCAAGAATGGAAGCACAAGATGGCAGATCTGCGGAGACAGAACCTGCGGGACGGTCTGCGAGACCTATACTCGCGCAAAAGGTCCGCAGACTCAAAGATTGTCAGCCGCAGTCTTGAGAGTCAGAATCGGCGGGACCGCATTCTTCAGCAACCCGAGCGTGAGGACGAGCGTCTCACTCGGCCATCGATCATTGAGGCGATGATGCCCCACAAACAGCCAGTTCTGCCCGACCCCAACCGCGAGGAACGCCTTGCCCTCTCTCGGGCACGCCTGGGAGCTAAGCAGGCACAGAAAGAAATTGAGCGGAAGGAGCACCTCCAGGCGTTGTATGTGAATGCTCGCACTTTCATTACAACCGAGGAGCAGCTCACTGCTGAAATTGACCGGGTATTCCCCGAGGGCGAGAACCCGGCGTGGCGCAATGACCACCAGCCCGGCGAGAACATCTGGAACCTGGGTAACCCCCCGACTGTGTTCAATCTTGCCAACAAGACCCGTTCCAATGAGGCTGTTCGCTGGGATGTCTCTCAGGAGCGTGTTAGGAAGCTTGCCGAGGCACTTACTGGCGGTAAGATGCGAGAGTAATCGGGATTTTTTTGGCATCATGTACAATATCTATCAAGCTATCACATTTCAACCCACAAATCAAGAGATCCTTTGGGAACCTTCCATTTTCTGAAGTCGGGTTAGTGGATGGTAGGTTGGTTGACGGGAGGCACCTGATCAGGAATCTTCTAGTACGGTGGTAAGTGCAATAGACCTCCCTGCTGTCGTTCATCATATGCAAGATCTTCCAGATCACCGCAGTCATGATTCGCAAAGGCCCATTTCTTTCTGGGATTGTGCCATCATCCTTGTAAGTTCCACCATGAGTGGACCGAACAACTATATCTATATTGTTCCACCGGTTTCATTCCACATCGAAAAGCACAAGACTATTCCCTGGCAGTGTTTACCTCCCGGTGCCTGGTACCCGAGCTACGAGCTGCGGACGCGTGACGACATACTCAACCTAATTGAATGCATTCCCTCGTTTTTTAATCGGCGGTTGGCGGTGCATCTTTCGTGGGGGGCTATGTCTGTCCCAAAGGCTTCACTTTTGAGGACATGACCATTACAATACAGCTAGGCATCCTGACGTACCTTTCAGTTATCGGCTCCTACGTTTCCCCAGTCGGCTCTAGGAATTCTTCAAAGTACCTTTATTATTGCCGAGATCGAATGTGACAGAGCAGATACTACTATACGGCCCTTCCTTGCGATTCAACATCTTGCAAACGGTAAAAACAGCAAAGTCTGGACATACGCCATCATACAAATGTTGACCTCACGGTCACTACTCGATTGTATACGATCATCCTAGAGAGTAGTATGGGCTTGGGATATTGATGTATGAACATAGCATCCCGGTGCTTTGGGCCTTTCATGGCTACCATTACCGGTGAGTAGACTAACAGGTTTTGTTCAAGTATATAATTGATGGGTAGCCGAGTACTATAAATAGAGATTGAACTTCGAAACTTCAACTTGCATGTTTATCTCGATAATATATCGATGGAAGATGTAGTGCTAGCCTAAGTCCATCACTTCATACATATGTATTGGCCACGCACCTTACACTGCCCTAGAAACAAATTAAAGGTTTCCTATATGCACACAATCATATTCGTTTTGTGCGCATAGGAGAAAAAACCCCTAAAAATGTAAGAGAAAAGAAACAGAAAGGTAATAATAAGGAATCAGCAGTGGGTGGCCTAGTGGTAACATGCTTTGCATGTGTACCACGAGGGAAGTGCCTAAGATCTTCCACTACCTCAACTGTTCCGGTTCGACCCCGGTCGTTCTCGCCTTTAACTTCTTCTTTTTTTGCTTCACCTTCATTCTTATTTACCATCCTTTTCCATCGTCACTTTCCTCTTCATAATCACCAAAATTATATCCACCAGGCAAATATACTTCGGAACGGAAAATATATGCCCCAGGCCCACGACACACGTGATCCAGATAAGCCGATAAGTAATTTTCCCTCCAGCAACCCCCCCCGAAAAAAGAGACAGAAGCCCAGAATCACTTCGTGCTGCTGGCAGTGCTACTTTACAAAAAATTGCCTACCTCTTTCCATTGTGCCGATCTACCAATCCTCTTTGTTCCAATTCCCATCCCAACACAAATATGGTGCAAGGATCATTGAAAAAGGCCGGTCCCACTGGCCCAGGCAGGAAGTAAGTGCCACTCACAGACAGACACAAAACCACAAAGCCACAGCCGACAGTCCCATCCGTCCACTAAGGAGCAATTAAACTAACATACACTCTCTCTAGGCCCGCCAAGACAACAAGACCGGGCGTCCGCTCCGTCGCGCCCAAGAAAGCCGGCCTGATCAAGCAGAAGAGACTGACCAAGGTACGCACCGACTCGCTTCCCAGTCCCCATATCTTCGACCCGGATTGCAGTCTGTGCCCTGCGAGACAACAAGAAGAAGAAGACAAGACCAAAGAAGAAAAACCACTAACACCGCTCTTTAGCAACTCACATCCGGCCTCTCCTCAATGACAGAACGCAGTCTGGCGACAAAGGCAGGTCATCTCGAGCTACTGGCTGGTGGAAAGAAGGACCGTCTGCTGAAAGAGCGTAATGCGGCTCGGAAGGATGGGACTTTGGCTCGCAAGGATACTTTGAAGTCTGCTCCTAAGAAGGCAACTTGAAGGGCGGGGAATTTAATGGATGATATGTTTTTTTTTTGTCTGTTTGATTCGATCTTTGCAGTTCGTCTATCTAGAGCTCGTTATATGAGTGCATGAAATCGATACCCAGTTTCCATTGTCTTTTTTTATCTAGATGGTTTATATGTATGCATAGTGTAGTATGAGATGGACGCGAGATGGATGGATGACGTGGAGATGAGAAGTAGTGTATATATGTCGAGAAATAGTAATTAAGTACAAATGGTGGAAACCAAGCGGAATAGGATAGAACATGTGTGAAATCATCAAATCATAAGGCAGAGCGTGCATGTAAAAGTCATGATGCATCCAATGGAACGAAACCTCGAAGAGAAGGAAATAAACGAGCAAAAAAAAGGGTATCTATAATTGTAACGCCAATGACATTACCATCCGAACCATATTCGCAGGCAATGTCTACCATCCCAGTCTCAGAACTTCGAGATGCGGCTCGGAACACCAGCCTGTTCAATCAGGTCCTGGCCACGCTCCATCCAACCGTTAAAGCCGCCGTCACTGGAGTCCGAGGGGAAATCGTCCCAGATGGCATTCTCCGAGTCCGCATACGTCGACCAAATACCCTTAGGGACATCGGCCGCCGACCAGGAAGGCAGCTTCGCCAGCACGCATGTATAGTAGACGTAGAGGATGCGGCAGAGCAGCTCGACGCGGTCAATGTAGTGCTGCGAAGTGGGATCGGGGTTATGGCCACCGTCGCCGAGCCGCTTCCACCAGCTCACGCGCCACCGCAGCGTGAGCAGAATGTGGCCGAGTTCGCCCAGGAAGCGGACGTGCGTCTCGTGCGAGATCTGCTTCCACTTTATGTTGTAGAAGTCGCGCTCAAGCTTGCGGAAGCCCTCGACTTCGAGCATGCGGCAGAAGATTCGGGAGAGTTGCGCTGCGAGGAGGATTTCGCGTTGGTCTTCTGGGTTGTTTATGTCCATTGTTCGCTCTTCGGCTGTTGGGTCGAGGGACACGAAGCTGTATTTGGCGCGGCTAGGCATGTTGTTCCACTGGGAGAGGAGGGTCTGAGGATGGTTAGTTACGTTCTTGTCGTGTAGGAGTGGACACTTACATAGGCTTGATTCATTGGGTCGCAGTCGGCAACGCAGGACAGCCAATTCTTGGATTTATCCTTTGAGTCGACAATTCGTCGGTCGATGAACTCTAGGAAAGTGGACTTCGAGTTGCCGTTGTACTCACTCAGGGTCTTCAGGAACTTGTAGGTCTCCCCCAAGTCGAGGACATAGAGAGAGCCCCAGGCCTGGCTAGCACGGATGTTGAACCGCCCCTGGCGCTCGGCGAGCAAAGACACGAGTTGGCTGAGGTCAAATTCAGATGGAATCTCCATCCGGACTCGGTTGGAACCATCCACCGTAGGGTGGTTGACAGCTCGTTGAGCTAGATAAAGTCAGTAAATCCGAACACCTCATGGGAGGGTTTGATCGATACATACAGATGTAGTTGCAGGTTCCAAACTCGACAATACTGGAGAAGCATGCACGAGCGCATGGTTGCTCATGAAGTGTAGGGCGACAAGCATCGCAGGGGGGGGCTTCCGTCACACTGCAAACAGGTTAACTTATGAAAAATAAAAAAATATACGTGGAAATCCTTACTTTGCGCTTGTTCA